AATCCCTGGGCTTTCAAAACAAAGGCCAACTGAGGCCTTAATTAGTTCTGCCCCAACATTTATACTTTCGTCTCTCTTTGTGCCCTCCTTATTTCTACTCTTATGTGTGAGAGATTTAAAGGAATCAAGATTTTCTTTGTATATGAATATCCAGTATTTTTATTACATTTATTAATTTTTTCTCATTATAAAAGTGATACACTTAGAAAATATTTTAGATATATAAAGGAAATAAAAATCACCCTTAACATTACCACACTGAGAAAATACTTTTTAAAAATTAGATTATATATTTTCCTAACTATCCTCTTCTCTTTCCCCATCCCTCCCATCAAAAACTAAATTAGTCCCCTTGTTATATTTTCTCATGGCACTGTATGCATTTCCTGTGTAGAATTTGCCAGAATTGAAGTTACATTTTTTGTGATTGTTTATGTAATGTCTGTCTCTTATACTAGACTGTAAGTCTAGTGACTAGGTAGAGACCTTGTCTGTTTGTCCATCAATCACACTATCCCTACCTGGCATTTAGCAGCTGCACAGTTAATAACTGATGAATAAATAAATGTGTTAGCATATTAAATTGGAATATGATTTTCTGTGATGGAGCTGAAAGAAATGTAATACTATATCATCATTCTTCTCAATAAATCTGAGAAGAAAGAGAAATTGCAAAGATACGATATATGAAATTGTTCCCAAGTATATCATCATGTCTTCGTAATTTTAGTGTTTACTTATTTCTTATGTTTCATTTAATTATTCATCAGACATGCAGTCACTATACTGCAAGTCAAGCAGTAGAGAGAGACAGAGAAATAAAACAAACTATAAAACACCCCAGAGCCTAGGTTAAAAAATAAATAAATACAAAAATAAATAAATAAACTAGGTAGCAAATATGAAGGGAAATACTATGAAAACACCAAAGAAAATAGTTAACAGTAACTGTCTGAAAGGATCTTATTCTGTTATTGTCCAGCAGACAATAAACGGGAGGCCTTTTTGCCATTTGCTGGGGTCCACCAGGTGAAATACAAATAGTAAAAATACTAATGATCCCTTTCATTACAGTTCTCAAATTTGCTGTTTTTAATAGATTTTTTTAGACTTACTTATATGATCCACTAGAGGGCAATAAACCCTTAAAGACACTGTAAGCAACCTTTAAAAGCATAGTAGTAAGTGCTGGCACAATTAATTTATAAATAAATCCAAAATTTCCTGCTTAAGTTTTTCATTTATTCATGAGTTGTCTGCCCAATTAGTAAATTTTTTTAGGATAGACAGTATCTTATTTTTACTTAGCCCAGTGTACTAGTCATGTTACAAATTTATTCCATTTCCTAAAGTTTGAATAGCAATTGTGTAAAGAATATGATTTGATGAATGCCCATATTGTTGTGGTACAGTGTACAATTCTGTTTTAGAGCCCTAAAGAAAATAGTCTCTGCTCACAATATAACTACAAGTTAAAAAATTAGAAGTGAGAATAAGATGTAAGTAATGATTAAAATAAGTACTAAATAAGATACTGTGTATGAAACTAGTTTGTGTATTTTATATACAAATATAAGATAATCTTATGATTTGGTAAAATTGTGTTTTATATTTAATGCTATGTGGCAAAATTGTGGCTTAGGAAGAGGAACTGCAAGTCATGAAGAAGATTAATATCTGAAGTTCAGATTGACAATTTCTGAGCTTTGCACTGAAAATATAAGCAGATAGTCCTTCTAAGATCTTACTCTGGGTCCAGTAAAAAAAAAAAAAAAAAAAAAAAGTATTAACAGATAAATTTAATATAATGTGGCATGTGATGAATTAAAGAGTAATTTAGCTTCTGGGAAAATGTCATAGAAAAAAAGACTTCTAGGAAGGATCTTAAAGAAGAATAAGCATTACTAAAAGAATGAAAGAGCATTTTAGAGAGAAGAATGGAAAAAAGCAAAGGCATAGAAATGTGAAACATACTGTGGGGGTGGGGAAGCAAGGAACACAACTCAGATTGTTTCTCTTAGCATAAATTACTGGCACATAAAGAGCAAAAGAGAAAGTTAAGAGAATAGGCATTAGGGAGAATAAAACCAAATAGACGATACACTACAATAGACAAAACAAATGGTAGGACTACAAAGGTAAAATAGTATATGGTGTAGAAAAAAAAAGAGAAGCCATTCTATTTGTTAACAAAGAAAGACTTTTTAGGGAACTTCAAATGAAACAGGAAGAAAATTCTGGTATCATATGCCATATGCCTAACCTGTTATAAAAATTTTCTTAAATTGCAAGATTCTGCTTATAGTTCTTCATTCATTCAATAAACTTTGAGATATGTCTCTGTTGCCCAGGCTGGAGTGCAGTGGCACAATCACTGCACATGACAGCCTCAATCTCCCAGGCTCAAGCAACCCTCCCATCTCAGCCTCCTGAGTAGCTGGAACTACAAGTGTGCACCACCATGCTCAGCTAATTTTTTTTATTCTTATTTGTAGAGATGAGGTCTTGCTGTGTTGCCCCAGCTGGTCTCAAACTCCTGGGCTCAAGCAATCCCACCTCAGCCTCCCAAAGCAGTTGGGTTGCAGGCCTGATCCACTACACCTGGCCCCATTCAATAACTATTTATTGTAAACTTAGTATATGCTGAGCACGGTAGAGAACAGGATGGACTAGGTCCCTGTCTTTATGAAACTTAGGCTAATGGTGGATAGAATGAACAAAAATAAGTAAGCAAAGACATATATAGGTTGACTCTCCAGCATGAATAGTACCACAAAGGATAAAACAGGTGGTGCCATAGATACTAAGAGAAAGGAGGAGTCTACTTGGGCTAAAGTGGGACTCTCTGAGGGAATAACATTAAAGATTGAAGGATGGTAAAGAACCAACTCTTCCAAGACTTAAGGGAAGAATATTCTAGGTAAAGAGAACAGTAAGCACAAAACCCTAAGAAGGGAAATTGTTTGGTACGCTTGAGGAGCAGAAAAGAAGGCCAGCATGGCTTAAAATACAGTAATTAAGGAGGAGAATAGTACAAAGTGAGATCAGGGATTGGCAAGATCTAGATGACCCAGGGCTGCACAGATCATTATGAGATGTTGAGGCTTCGTTCTAAACAGCAGAATTTTAAGCAGGTAAGAGACAGCATCTTCAGGAGTGAGCTTTATGTTCTTTTAGCTCCCCTAAATCACAGGTGGATGTACCACCATACTATACCCCACTCTAAATTAGATTTTAGAGATGTGGAAGGAAGGTACCTTTTTTGACATAACAGTATTTGTTGTGTTAACTAAAAGTTATAGGAGGTCTTTGTTTTGTGCTAAGCTCCTACACTACACCCCAGTGGACCAGACTAAAAATCAAAATGGAGTAATTTATGCTTCAAAGTTGCACCTCACCAAATCAAAACTACATTGTTATCTGACCTTCCTAGAACTCAGGAGAGAGAAATAAACTTTGATGCTTACAACAAAAAGTAGTCTTATGTTAACCAGTTATTCCTATATTTTTCTGTTTCTCTGTTCCTACTTTAGGAAGAAAGTAACTTTGAAATGACCAAGCTGCTTTTTATTCTTTGTTTCTACTTTCTTCAGCTCTTCTCTGTCTATAAAACCAAACTTCTCTGCTCAGCCCCCGGGACATTTATTCTATTTTACAGAATAAAGTATTTCCCAGTTCTAGAATTGTTACCGGAAAGAGGCCCCAATCCAGACCCCCCGAAAGGGTTCTTGGATCTCGCACAAGAAAGAATTCAGGGCAAGTCCATAAAGTGAGAGCAAGTTTATTAGGAAAGTAAAGGGATAAAAGATATAGAGCAGCCTCAAGGGCTGCTGGTTGCCCATTTTTATGGTTATTTCTTGATGATGTGCTAAACAAGGGTTGGATTACGCATGCCTCCCCTTTTTAGACTATATAGGGTAACTTCCTTACCTGACAGCTGGCATTTGTAAACTGTCATGGCACTGGTGGGAGTGTAGCATTGAGGACAACCAGAGGTCACTCTCATCACCATCTTGGTTTTGGTGGGTTTTAGCCAGCTTCTTTACTGCAATCTGTTTTATCAACAAGGTCTTTATGACCTGTATCTTATGCCAACTTCATGTCTCATCTGGTGACTTCAAATGCCTTAGCCATCTGGGAATGCAGCCCAGTAAGTTTCAGCTTCATTTTACCCAGCCTCTAGACAAGATGGAGTTGCTTTTGTTCAAACTCCACTGACAGAATCATAAATAAAGCCAATTAAGATGTTTCACAAAATTGTTGTAATTTTGTCTTTTGACAGTTGCGATGGCAAGGAATTTGAGGTTTTAGCACTCATAATGGCAGTTTTCTTTTATCCTTCTTTCTGCCTTTCCTTTGTATCTATATTACCTACCCTACTGTGTCCTTAGAGATTGCCATGTAGCCTAAGGTGACAACCAAATCTAGGAATATGTGATCTGCTTGTGGCAGAACCTTACTTAATGTATACATAAGAGTCCCAACAGGGATAGCAAAAAATTAGGATTAGCTTTTTCTTTTCTGTGCTCCTTTTAATAGCACAGATCAGTGATTTATGTGAATTATTTATCTTTCATCTTTGCAAATTTTCATCTTATTACCTTAGGTGCAAAGATTTTATTTTTATAGAAATGTTGTTTTGATTGACTATCAGGATTAGTATCACTTTAACATCTCCCTTCCATAGTCACCACGTTTCTACACTTCTGATCATCTTTATGGAGTACTATACCGAAAAGATTCTATTATTTTAAAACCAGTGACTTCCAGTCTGTCAGAATTTGCTCATGCCAGTATCAAAAACAGCATCACTCATTTTCAGAAATTGAAAGCTTTTGCTGTGTGTTTACAAATGAAAGTTTCTTAATACTGCTTTATCTCAAACAGTTACAAAGCCCTTTGTTTTAAAGCAAGTATTTTATGCTATAAATAACATAATCCATTTAAAAAATTAGTAAACAAACCAACCTTATTTTTTTGAGACAGAGTCTTACTGTGTCGCCCAGGCTGGAGTGCAAGTGTGGCATGATCTCAGCTCACTGCAACCTCCGCCTCTGGGGTTCAAGTGATTGTCCTGCCTCGGCCTCCCGAGTAGCTGGGATTACAGGCCCATGCCATCACACCCAGCTAGTTTTTTATATTTTTGGGAGAGACAGGGTTTCACCATTTTGGCAAGGTTGGTCTCAAACTCCTGACCTCGGGTGATCTGGGCCTCCCGAAGTGCTGGGATTATAGACGTGAGCTACCTACCACACCCAGCCACAGACCAATCTTTTAATTTTGGGTTTTTTGTTTTTTGAGAAATAGTCTCACTCTGTCACCCAGGCTGGAGTGCAGTGGCATAAACACGGCTCACTGCAGTCTTCACCTCCTGGGTTCAAGCGATCCTCCCACCCAAGTAGCTGGTACCACAAGCTCATACCATCATGCCCGGCTAATTGTTTTTTGTTTTTTTTTTTAGAGAAATGAGGTCTCAGCATGTTGTTCAAGCTGAATTTTTACAAAGAAAATATAAAGAGGGAACATTGCCACAGGCATACCTCGGAGATATTGTAGGTTGGGTTTCTGACTACTGCAATATATTGCAGTAAAGCAAGTCACACAAATTTTTTGGTTTCCCAGTGCATATATTAATAAAAGTTATATTTACACTATGGTCTACTAAGTATGCAATAGCATTATGTCTTAAAAAATACATATTTTAATTAAAAATACTTTATTATTTAAAAATGTTAATGGTTATCTGAGCCCTCGATGTGTCAATTTTATGTAGTGGAGGGTCTTGCCTCAGCGTTGATGGTTGCTGACTGCTCGGAGTGGTCATTGCTGAAGGTTGGGGTAACTGAGACAATTTCTTAAAATAAGACAACAATGAAGTTTGCTGCATTGATTGACTCTTCCTTTCACAAAAGATTTTCTATGCCATTTAATGCTGTTTGATAGCATTTTACCCACAGTGAAATGTCTTTCAGAATTGGAGTCAATCTTCTCAGATCCTGCCACTGCTTGTCAGCTAAGCTTATGGAATATTCTAAATCCTTTGTTGTCATTTCAGCAGTGTTCACAGCATCCTCACCAGGAGTGGATTCCATATCAAGAAACTACTCTCTTTATTTATCCATAAAAAGCAACTCCTCATAAGTTCATGCCTTATCATGAGATTGCAGCAATTGAGTCACATCTTCAGGCTCCACTTCTAATTCTAGGTCTCTTGCTATTTCCACTAAATCTGCAGTCACTTCCTCCACTAAAGGCTTGAACCCCTCAAAGTCATCCATGAGGACTGGAATCAACTTCTTCCAAACTCCAATTAGTGTTGATATTTTGACTTCCTCCCATCAATCATGAATGTTCTTATTAGCATCTAGAAAGGTGAAACCTTTCCAGAAGATTTTCAACTTAGTTTGCCCAGATCCATCAGAAGCAACATAAATGGTAGCTATGGCTTTAAGAAATGTGTTTCTTAAATAATAAGACTTGAAAGTCAAAATGACTCCTTGATCCATGTGTATAGAACGGATGTGTTAACAGGCATAAAAACATCAGTCTCCTTGTGTTATCTCCATCGGCACTCTTGGGTAACCAGGTGTGTTGTCAATGAGCAGTAATATTTTGAAATAAACCTTTTTTTCTGAGCAATAGGTCTCAACTGTGGGCTTAAAATATTCAGTAAATCATGCTCTAAACAGATGTGCTGTCATCTAGGCTTTATTCTTCCATTTCTAGAGCACAGGCAGAGTAGAATTAGTGTAATCCTTAAGGGCCAGAGGATTATTGGAATGGCAAATGAGCACTGGCTTCAATATCAAGTCACCAGCTGCATTCGCCCCTAAGAAGAAAGTTAGTCTGTTCTTTGAAGCCTTGAAACCAGACACTGACTTCTCTAGCTATGAAAGTCTTAGATGTCATCTTCCTCCCGTATAAGGCAATTTTGTCTACATTTAAAATCTATTGTTTAGTGTAGCCACCTTCATCAGTTATCTTAACTAGATCTTTGGATAACTTGCTGCAGATTCTGCATCAGTACTTGCTGCTTTACCTTGCAGCAAGTCATGGATTATGTTTTGGAGACGGCTTCTTTTCCTGAACTTCAAGAACCAACCTCTGCTATCTTCAAGCATTTTTTCTGCAGCTTCGTCACCTCTCTCAGCCCTCATAGAATTGAAGAGCGTTAGGGTCTTACTCTGGATTAGGTTTTGATTTAAGGGAATGTTGTGGCTGGTTTGATCTTCTAGCCAGACCACTAAAACTTTCCCCATATCAACAATAAGGCTGTTTTACATTCTTATTTATGTGTTCACTGGAGTAGCACTTTTAATTTCCTTCAATAACATTTTCTTTGCATTCACAACTTTGCTGTTTGGCACAAGAAACCTAACTTTTGGCCTATCTCAGCTTTCAACATGCTTTCCTCACTAACCTTAATTTTTATTTCTGTCTTTTGTTTTAAAACCAAAGACACATGACTCTTCCTTTTACCTGAACACTTAGTCATCGGAGGGTTAATAACTGGCCTAATTTCAATTTTGTTCCGTCTCAGAATAGGGAGACCCAACAAGAGGGAGAGAGATGGTGGGTCAGTCAGAACATATATTTATAGATTAAATTCGTTTTATACAGGTGCAGTCTGTGGCACCCCAAAACAATTACAAGAGTAACATCAAAGATCACTGATCACAAGTCACCATCAGATATAATAAAAATGAAAACTTTTGAAATATTGTGAGAATTACCAAAATGTGACAGATGGAAAGTGAACACATGCTGTTGGAAAAATGGGCTTGCTTGACACAGGATTGCCGTAAACCTTCCATTTGTAAAAAATGCAATATTTGTGAAGCATAATAAAGTGAAGTATAATAAAAGGAGATATGTCTGTATTTTATTATTTTACTTCTCTGTTTTTTTGTTGTTGTTGTTTGTCTGTTTGTTTTTAGAGATAGAGTCTTGCTCTGTTACCCAGGCTAGAGTGCCATGACGAATCATAGCTCACTGTGGCCTAGATCCCCCTGGGATCAAGTGATCTTCCTGCCTTAGCCTCCACAGTAGCTGGTACTACAGGTACGTGCCACCACACTCAGCTAATTCTCTTATATTTTTTGTAGAGACAGTGTCTCTCTGTGTTTCCCAGACTAGTCTCGAACTCCTGGGCTGAAGTGATCCTCCCACCTCAGTCTCCCAGAATGCTGAGATTACAGGCATGAGCCACCACACCTGGCCTTCTTGATGTGTTTTATACAAGAATATTAAAACACTTTGAGTTATCCTTTGACATGTAACATTTTGCTTTTTCTGTTTTCTCTCAAGATGTATAAAATGAGCACATTGAAATCTAATAAAGCAATAACCGTTTCTACCAATTTAGTTCTTTAAAGGTTTCATGTAAGTTCATGTACCAATGGAATATACCTTATCTGAAATTTCTGGGTCCAGAAGTGTTGTGAATTTTGGATTTTGGAATATTTGCATATAATTAATGAGATATCTTAGGAATGGGACCCAAATCTAAACATAAATTTTGTCTGTTTCATGTACATCTTATATACATAACCCGAAGATAATTTTAGACAATACTCTTTTTTTTTTTTTTTTT